TTGTCATATCAGCGGCGAAGACAATCCCGTTAATCGCATGGACAGGTATCACTTACTTGTACTGTCTCGTTGTCGACTGCCTGGCAGGGTGTTCAAATATAAAAATAAGAGTTAGTGGGCTTCATTTCCTGCCGTGTCTACAGCTTCCTTTGGAACGACTGTCCGCCCCCTGTGCAAAAGTATTACACTGATATCCTAAACATAAATACTTTGAGATTCAACGGTGCTCCGTTGGCAGGATAGACTCCAAGCTACCCTGGAAGTCCAAGTTATTTGAATCAGAATGATTGTATTTCAACTCGATGGGAAACACGTCCTTCTCCCTTGCTGTAAGTGCTCTAGAGAAAAGATTAACGCATTTTTCTGCAAATTACTTGTTTGTATAGGCTGGCTGAGAAATAGTATTCAATTTTATTTCTCTAAAATCATCCTCTTCTTTCGTCGATTGAGTTCTGAAACACACGCAATTTTCCATTTCGATGAATATAAGATCTGCAAAACTGCATACATTATTACAGTAGGCTTTGTCCATAAATGAATGCGATATGATACGATACGGTAAATGTGACGGCGGGTTTCACAAGCCCAGACTTTGGTACAATGTTCATTTATCGGCAACTGTGCAGGAGTGTTAATTGTTCTCGCCTATAACTTCCCCCGAATATCACGTTGTTCCAATTCTCCAAATTCAAGCAAAATGTTGTTGTCGTAAGTAATTCGTAAAAATTGGTAGTCAGGTATCCCAAGAAATTTAATATGAAAAAACACGTTCTATTGGACAATGAAATTAATTTATTCCGTAAATTTTGGGGACTGCTTCCTAAGCTGGTCTTCATACTAGGGAGGATATGCAACGAAAAAGTGAAATGTCAAGCGTGCAGGAAAAATTAATACCCGTGTTGAATGAGCACTGATTGGCAGTGTTGGCGTCTGTCAATCCGCATTGCTCGGCTTCCGTCTCATCCAACTTCATTTGTGATGTTTGTATATTCAATTCAACGTGATATGTCGGTTGTTGCATGAAGGTACACAAAAAACATACCATTTAGGCCAATTGCCTCTCTGCGTGGCACGCCTGCATACGGTTTGGCAAAATGGATGTTTGTTCATCTAAAATCCCTGACAGTAGGTTCAACGACGACCGCAGCTTCTGCCAAACGGTCCCTTGAACAAATAAAACATTTGAAGTTACAATTTCCCCATAAGACTTATTTCACATTTGGTTGAAAAATATATGAACAAATTAATGGCACTCCCATGGACTCCCCTGCATCAGGCCTGATTGCTGACGTGGCCCTTCAACGGATTGCACAATTGGTATTCGTAAAGTATCAGCCAACTTTTTCGGCTCGTTATATCAATAAACCCTTTCGTCATTGTCAACACATCAGGAATTGGAAATCTCAACGAGTTCCTAAACTCGATTGACCCAAATATCCAATTCCCGACAGAGAGGAAAAGATAACCAACTAACTTTCCTCGATGTCCTGGTGCGCTGTTGTTCAATTGGACTATTGCAAACCACAGGAATCAGAAAAGCCACCAGCACGAAACAAATACGCCACGCCAACAGCAATCACTCTATGTTTACCATAAGTTGCTGCGTTCTTACTCTGTTCCATAGAGGTGTAACACACTGCAGTATACAACCTATTTCGAGCTAATGGATACTCGAATTATTTATTAACCAAAGCAAGCACCGAGTGAACAGACGACAGGCAGGAAAACAGCAACCCGAAATCTGTAGGGCCATTCTGAATTTCCGAAGCAGTATCTTAACTGTTGCATCCCCCTGGTGTATCCATAGCCCATCGACATCAGGCGACAATACGCCGCCGAATGATGCAAAATAAAGGCAGACTGGCCCGTACTGAAATCTCCACAGTTGTTAAAAACATACGTTGCAACAGTGGACACTGTAATTACGTTGGAATAACAGGGTGCAAATGCAGAGCCGTGACAGAAACACAAGGCGGCGGCCCGGAGGCTGGACCCTAATTCACAGCTTGCAACACATATCGGAGAGGATGGCCACATCTTCGATATTCAAGTAACGACCATCGTAGGCCGATGAGCTTCAAAAGCTGAAAGGTTGACACTCAATGCATGTTTCTCAGACGCCAACTATGTGAACAGGCATCTGGACCTCGCTGCGACCTTCAAAGTCCCACGCCATTACATAAGTAAAGGACCGGACGTGGTCAAACCGAAGTCAGGATTTGCAGACAAAGAGGCATCCAAAGACTTGAAATACATTGCAGCACACCAGCTGACAAAAGAGTGGGACAACAATACCTACGTGAACGTGCAACAACGTAGCGACCTGTAGGACTATTCCCTACATAAAGGAGTCTCCGAAACAATCTATCATTTTTTACAACCCGCTAGAGTAGCCTTAGTCTATCGACCATAGGCGACAATACGCCACCGATTGAGGCAACTTAAAAACAG